TGATGTCCATCGCCTTTCCCAAGCCTACTCCAGTGCCACACTTCTCCGGCGATCGCATTCTTTTCCATCAACCCTTTATACCCCAGATTAATATATCTCATTATGCCTCACTGTGCCCCATTCCTTTCATCAGCTGTAGATTCTCCACAGTCCTGGTTCTTGACCCATTCAAAAGTGCCAGATGTGACAGATATACTTTAATGCATTTACATTGGTTTATGCCGCATGGATGGAACAAGAAACATTTTGATTCCTCCCTGCTTGATTCCATCTACAGCAAAGCTTTACACTTTCCCTCACTCCATCATCGATTCCTTATTCAGAGTGCCCACCTACCCATCTTCTTTTAGGAAGCGTTAGACTACAGTTGCTTTGCGCCTTATTCATCACCTAATTGTTAGCACATTCATGGATTCGTGCAATTTGGGATGTACGAGTAAGTTACCTCAAATTTCCTAAATTGATGCCTTCCCTTCTAACCCTCCTCATACCTTTCTCATCTTGTTTCCGTATCTGCAGCCTTTGCCAATCGTAAGTGCTCCTACAGCTTATCGACGATAGCTGAAGCGGTGTAAGTGCAGTAAGATGTAGTGAAATGCCTCCAAATGAGACCACCCACAGTACACACAAGTGAATGTGGGATGACGTGTTAAGCGCAACAGTGGAAGCGCCATGAGCCAGCTCATTCTCAGTGGTAACACTGGGAGGTAGCACATCTACTGCCAGACCTAGTCACCACGACCACGCATTCTCCTAACACCACTCATTCAAGTAGGGTTCTCCCTTTGAAACCGCGCTGTGTGCTTGAATGAGTTGAGTGGCATGAGATGGGCCAGTTGGGATGAGTTGGGATGTCAAGCAGTGATTTTCATCTGATAGCACACTACTTCCATTTCATCGTTATGACTTCGCCACCACTGTATGCATTGCTACAGCATACATTGAGGCAAAATAAGTATCTCCAAGGAAGCATAATGTGAAGTGGCTGCACACTTGGATGTGAGTAAGTC